TCCATCTGGTCATTTAAAATTGATAAAGGGGACCAGCATTTGACAATTAATCATACTTTCAGTCTATTAAAAGGAAGAAAACTACGTGATTCCACTGTTTAAGGGGTTCCTACGGAGGTTGCGTTGTTGAGTAGGATAATTAATAAGATGAAAAGAATTGCCCTCAAATGTACAGAACATTCAAGCGGAAAACAGAAAAAGGGATAAAATAACGCCTTGCAGTACACCTTATGAAGAGGAGAGCATTGAAGAAATGCGGCCTTTGTAGCGTATGAACTGTTGACGGTTGCAGAAATAGTTGTCCAAGAGTTCATTTGTTGGTGATTGAACGCTATCTGAAGAAAGGGTAATTGGAAATATTTGCCTATGTATGTGTTGAAGATATCACCGTAGTCTAGGTCACACGAGGAAGTGCCCGAAATACTGCATGCATTAAGAAAAAATATCCGATTATCAAACGTGTGCTTTGGGCTAACTCCCGAAGCTTCCGAGAATATCTGGGGTTAGATGAAACGAAGTGGGAAACATATCACAGCACAAAATGTGATCAGAAATACCAGTTTCTGAGTAGGGTGAGTGCCTTTCCCTTTGTTGTGTCCCCATTATTCACAAACGTTCCAATCAAATAGTTTCTGCCAAAAACACTTCAAACATGCTGATCAAGTCGGATTTCTAATATCCGCATAAGAAGGCCTGATAAATGTCTGTTATCAGAATGTAAGATTCACTTTGGATGAGATGAACATACGATTTAGCTAGGACAAGAGCACTTGATGGATTAACGTCGAATACGTTCCTTATGACTCGAAAATACAAACTGAATGTCGAGTTGTCCTCAGAGATATTTTACTCTCCTTCAGTAAATGTTATTCTCGCGATCGCTAGAAAGGAAGACTATGTTAGTACCCAAATGAAAGAGAACAAAACCGTAGTATGATAGTGGAACGTAAAAGCGAGAGATTGCTGCTGTTTCCCGATCCTTCTCAAACGAAAACCTTGGATGGCACAACTCAGACATCACTGAAGATAAAACGCGTACAAGCATGAATTTCTTTTTCTTTTCATTTTTTACCTCCTTTTAGTGAATATACCAAGCTACAACTTTCAGGAAGGGGGAAGCCGTCAATCAAAGGGCTGCCATTCAACACATGATGGTGAAAGTGAGGCGGTGATGATGGGATTCAAACACACATCTCTGGGGTGAGAATTTGGTGACAACTCGTTTCAGGCCTTTTATGAGATGGTTGGCACAGTGTTCACACTCCATCGCAAACGTCTTCCATGCGATGGGTACGGAGTTCAAAACACGGATGGACGGTGGATATGCACTGATGACAAGCTCTAATGAGAACTAAACTTGAGTCTAATCCTTCCAGGTGTATGATTGCCTGAATGAACTGATGATTATGCATGAAGTTCGAGGTTCAGTTCAAATCATTATCAATTATTGCACAGCACAATGTTAAATATCGTAAATCAGTCTTCTAAAGGGTACTTGGATAGGAAAATGTCCAAATCTCCGCTGCTGCTTTATTCCCCATCCCGAGATACTATCGGTTAAATCATTGTGGAATCACGTAGGCCGTCTTTTTTAATTCAAGAGAATTTGATTAATAGGTGAAAGAGGAACAAATGACATTATTATTATTATTATTATTATTATTATTATTATTCAACCTGTTAGTTTCGTCCCAGG